TATATATATATATATATATATATATATATATATATATATATATATATATGGGCATAAATATCTAAACACACTAATAAACTCAGGGTGGCACAATCATCAGAGAAGGCAGGCAACAAAACAACATTATATACTCAGTAAATTATAGTAAATTTTATGCTTACGTGTATTTGCGGCGTGTGCACAGGAGGGGAAGTTGCTTAAAATGAGAGAAATAAATTAAGAGCAACTGGGCAATGTTGTCCGTTTACCACCGGGAGCAACTTAGGAAATTGCCCACTTAGAGCATTGGCAGTTTGTTATACATGAAACGACAACATCAACATGTCATAGCAGATACAACGAACGAACGAATGCAACTTACTACACAATCCGCATGAACATAATTCGTGGAATTTTTAAATGCAACTTTCTGCGCATACAAACGTACAAACGTACACATGGCATAAGACGTTTTTTTTTTTAGCAGCATATGCTTTTTACTTAATCACCCCAAATATCTAGTGCTAATGCTGAAAGCAAAGCATAAACCATAACGACAATTTGGTTCGGGTTTTCGTTTTACAAGGAACTGAAAGTGTTAGAGTTTACAATGATTTGTTTCTTTCGCATTTATTCCTATGAGTATCACCTACAGAAATGTGGTCAGTTGTATGAGTAACAAAAAAAACAAAAAAAAAAAAAAAAGGAATGGCGTTAAAACCCATTTAAAATTATTAAATAAAAAAAAAAAAAAAAAAAAAAAAAGAATTATTATTTTTATTTATTTATTCTTATTTTTTTTTTTCTTCAGAAGACCGTAAATTATTTGCAAATTGGTTACTAGTTACTGCTGGTACATCTTCGCCACGTACTAAGAATGATATTAATTTTTTTCCATTTTTTTGTTTCTTGCAATTTTTTCCCTTTTTCGCCATATTCAGAACCAAGTGGAAACGTCAAACCGCAGTGGGCTTAGAATTATTGGCAGAAGCGGGTAATTTTGCTGCTTTTCAACGTTTGTACGGCGGCTCTCCTTATTTGGGAGCTTGGCCATATCCAGGAGCTCAAACGGCACACGGTGGTCCTCCACCTTCTTCAATAGATCTTTACTATAGGCAAGCAGCTGCTGCAGCTGCTATGCAAAAACCTTTACCCTATAGTCTCTATGCAGGAGTGCCGAACATGTCGCATTTGGCCGGTTTACCTGTAGCGGCGGCGGCTACACCGTTTTCACATCTCTCAGCGTCCAGTTCATTATCATCGCTAAGTAGTTATTATCAAACGGCTGCGGTAGGTCAGGCGCCAAATGTAACACCACCTGCCAGTAACGGAGCATCGATGCCGCCTTTGGGTGTTATTAAACCAATATCTACTACACCGTCTCCTACACCATTAGCTGAATCTTCACCCACGCGAACTGCCGATACTCGGTCACCCAGTCCAACTTTAAATCCTGGCAGCCCGCCTGGTCGCTCGGTAGATAGTTCGTCGCAAGCTCACTCTGATGATGATGATCATATACAAGTTTAAAGGCAAGGAGAGAGATAGAGCGAGAGAGAGAGAGAGAGAGCAAAGGTTTGAGAGATAAATAAGAAAACACAAATACACACATTCGCAGTCGCACTTAGAAGATATTTTTTTTATTATATGTATGCATAGAAGGCTCAATTTTAATAATCATGTAAATGTTAACAATTTTATTTTACTCTAGTTTACTCTTATAGTTAGCCTACAATTGCACAGAAAGTTATTAAATAGGTAAAGCGATTGCCTATATTTTTTAATTTTTTATTTTCTTTATTTTTATTTATTTATTTTTATTAATTTTTTTTTTTTTTTTTTTTTTTGCGCTAACAGAAGTATATGAGAATTCTATAATGTAAGTACCCTCACCTACAGTCCTTGCAATCAGTGTATGTTTTTCATTTTATAAATATATTAATGTAATTATGAATTTCAATTCATCTCCTTAGATGTGTATATGTATGTATGCCGCTGTACAATTTTTTCTATTATTATTCTGTAAATTAGTTATAAAAAAAAAAAAAAAATAAAACAAAAAAAAATCAAAAAAATAAAAAATAAAATTAATTACCCTAAAGCATTAAAAATTTGTTTAAGAAATCATTTTAGCTCATCGCTAATAAGTTTTTATAAATGTTCTTCTTATGCTCTTTAATTCGGTTAATCGCATTCGTTACATGCAACGACAACAACTAACTAATATAATGCTCAGTCTCACCTGTTGCAGTTAAGTGAAAAATATCTGCCGATTAGGTTATCAATAGCCTGTTGCTTTAGTTTTTTGCCATTTTGTACAAATAAAAGCCATTAGCCATAGATGAGCGTAATAAGTGTTTACCAGTTGTTAGGTAACACAGTTTAATCATTCGTTTTTTTTTTTTTTTTTTTTTGGAATCTGTACAGAATTTTTATCTTTCCCAATACACAACGCGCCATAGAAAGGTACATTTAATAAATCAAAACACTCAGATATATAAAGCGCCGAAATTGTGGAAATTTGTTGATAGGTAGTCATACGGAAAACTTTTCTCAGAGAATTTCAATTTGCTCAAAAGCTTTAGTCGCAAATTTTTCTATTTCTTAAAATATTCCTTTTTTTTATCCACTATCTATCCAATCCATTACTTAAGCGTAACATTTAATAATCGAAAAGTTATTGGGTTTCTCTGGATTTAGGCTCAGCGCACTAAGTCAACAAATCGCAGCAATTGTCGCATTTGATCGCTGACGTTTGAAGCCACGAGATCTGAAAACAAGTGAGAAAATTATATTCGATTTATATCCATCACCGTTATCCTAAAAAGACTAGAAATAGAGCAAAAGAACTACATCTCTGTATGATATTGAATAGAGGAAACTGATTTATTCTATTTTCAGAATAAGAGCGAAAGTTTTTATGGTGTGTGTGTTGTATTTGATCAGTAAGAAGAAAAAACTCGGAAAGCAAAAGTGCTTACAGTTCTTGTTGCATAGGCATGCGTACGCTGTAGGTGTATTCTTTGAAAAGTTTAGATCACTTCCAAATCATTTTGCAAATTCGTCCTTCAGAACGCGAGAATGTTTACCACAGATTGTTACTCAGTTGAGTAGGCGAACCGATGAATAGCCGAGCAGACGGACGTTTTATGATACGTTCGAAATTTGAAACTAGGCAAGAAGTTATATACTTTATGGGGTTTGATAGAACACACGTTCAAACAATTTTGTAGATTTATATGCTATGATGTTTATGAGTAATGAGCAAAAAAACAGTTTTTTACTGCTTTGCAAAAAGAGCGGTATTCTCCGTTAACATCTTACTATAGACATATCCTTTGAGTAATTTGGCCCGTTTTCAATACCAATCCGCTTGCGAGAACTTCCAATGTTTCCGTCAAATTTGAAGTCGTTAGTTTCACTTTTGCGGCCATTACATTAAACAGACGGACAGACGGACAGACAGACATGCTTAAATCGATTTCGAATCAACAATCTACATACTTTGTGAAACTTCTCTCGGGGCGTTTTGAGAAAATGAATATGCCCTTCATCCTACAGTCTGACGATGAGAGCATTACATATACACAGGTGGGTAAAAAAATAGATGCATTATGTATTTTTCGGTTTCATGCCAGGGAAATCCTATAAGGCCGCTAGCTATTGCAATAAAAAGTTGAGCGCTTTTATAGTGCTTTAGAAGCTTTCTCATGTGGGCAGCAAAATAGCTGCGCCGTCTTTAAAGTTTTAAAAACTAAAGCATTTTGTAATATTTTCTTGTAAAAGTGGATTACAAGCCCACTCCAAACCCAGATAAATCGTATTTCTTGAGAAGGAAATGCAATATGATAATGCAATGTTAGATATATATGATGTTATTAGGTAGGTCGAGTACATCGTTGTAACAAAGAAGACAGACGCCTAATTCATCAGCTTGGAAATCAAGGAAAATCGTATAAGATTACTGCCGCATTACTATGTCGGTCACAAAACTTCGTCACGAATGCTTTAAATTCCCAAAAAAAGTTCTCAGAAGCGCGTTATTTTTAAGTTTTTCACTATCCACCTGGAAGTATGCGATCTTTTGAAATAAACTACGTTCAAGTATGTGCTTGTACTTGAGATATAGTTTTGAAACCGTTAAACCATTAAACACAAAGATATCCTACTTTACAAATAAGTGATAAATATAAAAAATAATAATATAATAGGAGGCAAATGGAAAAGAATACCCTCCATTAACATAAAACAACACACATCTATTTTTCTACCCCTCTGTGTACAGATGTTATAACCAGACTTATGCTGTACGAACTGGGACGATAAAGATCAAGACAATTTTTATAAAAATGGGCGAAAAAGATATATTATCGAAGCAAATGTCTAAAATCGGTCTTTGTGAAAATCAAAAATGCAAAAGTTTTTTGCGGCCAGGATATAAACGATTGAAGCATTTGCGAGACATTAAATCTCCCCCTAGTCAACTTTATTAAAGAAATTCACAAAGAGAAATTTACTAAGCTGGCAAATGACTTTAACTCGAGATAATTTTAAACTAGACAACATTTTTTTAATAATAAATCTCTGCTGAATTAGAACAAACTGGCTTATCTATCTTGAATTGATTGGCAAGTGAACATCACTGATGTATTGAAAATTTCAAAAGTCGAATAAATTTTAATATGAAAGGCGCACTCTCATCTTCTGCTTAACTCAGAAACTTTGCAAGATTAAAAAAAAAAAAAAATATGATGAATTTACCTACACACTTTGTTCAGGTTTCAAAATTAAACGACTCATATATCACGTTTGCCATAATAAAATTTTCGAATAAAAAAATTCCCCTTACGCCTGGCAATGAAAAATTGTCTCAACAAATTGCAGATAAGTACGAAGAATATCGCGCTCAGAATGAATTTTCAGAATAATATCTCTCTTCTTATATCTGATACGAATGGTCGATCTTAAATCTGATTAACGATTCCTGCGGAACAAGCTGACATCTTATGGCAATTTAATCTATATAGTCTGATAGGAATTTTGATGAAAAATTTCAAGTAAACACAATTCAAAATCGAACCAATTCACTTCTAAGGACAAGCAATACGCGGAAAAATATTTGCAAATATATATTGAAAAAATAAAGACGAAATATTCTGTATTCGAAAACCTCTAATGCAAAATGATTTAGTGATTGGAAGAGTCATGAGTCATGATAGACTCTGCTATCGTGGCTTGTAATCAGTGAAATTAATAAACTTGATTTCCTTTTAAGTTTCTACTTACGTTGTAATCGTAAATTTTAAAAAGTTTTGAAAAATTCAGAAAATCCATTCAATCGAATTGAAATGCGAAATACTCGTATGCAGGAATATTGATCAAAAAATTGAATGCGTCACAACTTTGCCGATAGTCCAATAATTTATGTTTAGTTGAAAATAAACTAAAACATATTGATTGATATATGAAACATAAAATATTTGTTATGCGTTTTTGTTCTTTTTATTCAAGTATTTATTTATTTTTATTTTTTTTGTTTTTTTTTTTGTTTTTTTGTTTTTTTTTGAGTTTTATTAGCTTCGGGCAATTAAAAGCTTAAAGTAAAAAAACAACAACCCTTAATGGTAATATGTAATTGCATGCAACATGCATTTAACCGCAATTAGTGCATTTATTAGGGCAAGTATTAAATAACACTAAGAGAATGTAGTGTGGCATACTATGCTGAATGTAAGCACAAGGAAATGGCACAACAAACAACACGCTAAGGAGTTTGCCGAATGTTTGCGAGCTGTAAAACTGAGTGGCTGCGAGCTGTAAAAATGTCTCGTTGCTCAACTATGACAAAGTGCTTAAGCACTTTAAATATATATATATATATATATATATATATATGTACAGAGTTGTGCACATGTCTTGTGGAAGTGCTACTGCAAGCAACACATACGTTTAGTCACTCAAGGCGGTCGGTAGGAATTTTTGCATAAAAAAAAATTAAAAGTAAACTTCTCGAGCGTTTGCGTTATTTTGGTAATTAAACATGAAAAACATTTAACACTAAATACTTCAGGCTATATATATATATATATATATATATATATGTATATATATATGCCTGTGAAATATAGTAGTTCATATGTGTTTAAGTAATGCGTGTGCAGCTTGACAGGTATTTATAACTTTTACCAAGCAAATGTTTACTTTTTGACTTGACTGAAAACAATAAAGCAAACAGCAATAACAGCAAGAGCAGCAGCAATAACAGTAAGCGCAGTAGGCAAACGTAAAGAAGCAAAATGCAAACAGCAATAACAATAATTTGATATTATTGCAACATGAGAGTGTTGTTGTTCTTCAGGCCTACATACTATAATATACTCGTTTGTGTACTTGAGTATATGAAAACCCTTTCATTAAACGTGGTTACGCTCAATTAAATATTATGGTTTGTCATTTTGGCAAATAAAAAAAAAAAGCCAACTGCTTAGCAAATGATTCTTCGCTATGATAACGATAAGTAAGAGTCTTAT